TGGTATTCATTAGTAAGGAGTATTCTGTAAGTCAGCCGGGCACAGGTGGTGGTCTTCTGGATTTGTGGTTTGGGATGTTTTTTGTTCTTCTAGCCTCATGGAGATGTGTGCAGCATATTAATTGCATATTCCGTGTACCTTAGAAGGCTGATTGAATGCACGGTAATATTTGTTTCTGGGAGATTTTATAATGAGAAGAGTTTTACGATCCATATATAGTTCAGAGCAAAGCGTTGGCGTAATTCTAGCCTGCTCCTGCCATGATGGTAGCATAATTCTGCCCCAATAACCAGAAGTCTCGAATCGAGTCTCGAGCCCCGCCCTCGAGTCGGGGCCAGCTATGGATTCGTTGTCAGCGGGCCTTGCACTCATGCCGTTAAAGGCGAAAATTAGGGCGCACACGCTTATCGGGCAGTTGAACGAACGACGTGGTCGCTTTCGCGCGTGCACTCTTGGACGCCAGTTCATGCTTTGCCAGGCCACTGAGCGCGCAATCACTGTCCTAGTGTCACAATTTTTAGCTCTTATTAGTTACTGTTTTGAGCCTTCTTAGCATGCCGAGGCCGGTATAAGAGAAGACAGCGGAGGCGTAATGCCAGAACGGTCAATAAAATATCACGCCATATTGTCGAGAATATGAGGGAAAGGTACCCGTCCGATGCATCTTCACACCCTTGGAGGGGTTTCTCCACTTACAGTTCGTTTACTGATACCGTTACTCCTTCCCCTGATGGAGAGATGGGTGTGACGGCCGGAACATCGAACACGGACCTGAGGAGTCTCCAAGAACCCCGTTAACGGAAGATGAACTCTGAGCATCTATGCAGTGCGTTTGAAAATGCCGTGAACTGGTCGGGCAGGTTTTCTGAAGATTATGAGGCGGATTCCGACAGCCGGCGCTCCAGACTTGCCCTCGGACGCAAGAACGATGCTGGGTGAGGCAAGCACTGCGACATCGACTTCAGCGTTGGGCAGTTGTGAGTACGTTTATTTAGGACTGGAAAGACAACTAGCTAAGCTGTTACATACCTGTTCATGCATATATCTGGTGATGTGGTAGTAGCGTACGTAGCAATCCAATTCATAAGAAGCCCGAGCGCGAACTGTAGGCGATTTTAGGTGAGATTATGCAGTTCCATGTTAGTGAAGCGTTTGTGAGAGAAATATATTGCGGCCATGGTAAGCGGTCGGGTATGCAATAGTTTTACAGGTGGCTGACTGTTGGCGATACGATTAATAGTTGGTGACTAACAGTAATGTGCATAATTAACTTTACCGACGTTCCGAGTAATTCCCTTTCGGTGCAGTCAATTTGTGTTAGTCTGATTGATACTAGATTAAAACTATACTCATTGCTTACCATGAGATAGACTATATTTCCGCAATATTTTAAAAGAAAGAACCGCCAGATAAGCGATTTGGAGGTGGGCCCTACCACACAGCCATAAAACGGCTACTGCGCATATTTTTTTGAATCAACAGAACCCTGTCACGTTTATTTTTACATACCAAGTTTGTCATTTTCTCGTTTTTTAAGTTTCTCGTGCTTTGTTTTAACAGAATATTATTTTACACGCAAACAGAGTCTTCCTACAGTCACCTTATTACTATTAAAAATTACACAGAAGGGGAGAAATTATTGGAAAAAGAGGAGAGTCGCTCATTCGGGGAATAAGTAAGCTATTGTTTGGGGACAAAAGTGAGATTCGAAGTTTCGGACCCGATCTGGGCTCGAATTTCCGAGTTCGAATTGTTAGGGGGTAACAGAAACTGACAAACTATACGCTAGAATTGCGCTAATCATTTCTCTTGCGTCCCATTTTAGGAGTAAGAACAGTCTGGTCTGCGTATTTCCTTTAATGATTATTTATTATGAGCATAAAGAGGGCCACAACAACAAACCTGCGTAGCAACTCTCTTTAACTTGGAGGATCCCGATGCCACCTGGACGTTCGCAGATACTCTTTTTCACAGAGAGTCTTCGGTGCCTGGAACGGGCTTCCCGAGGACGTGGTAATGGCGGATACCACGGAGACGTTCAAGCAAAGACTAGGCGTATATTTGATTGGGTAATACCGCTTGTCTGGACAGGACAGGTCTGTGGTGCCAAACCAACGCCTTGCATACACCTACCGCTAATGCGGATAACTGTCATTTCATTTAACCGATATCATCTGCAACCAAATTTTCTTGAGTTGCGGTCATGCATTCCCAGCGAAAATATTCTGTTAGGTATATATACTACTGCATGTACTGTTTTGCAATAGGGTTTTGAAAGACATTGCCTATTACCCTTAAAATATACTGACCTATACTGACCTTTCCAGTCGTCATCGCTGATTAGCAAGGATGTTGCTGTCCACGTTGAAGGCCGGTCAGAGAACAGTGATGAAGTCAACCGTCTTTTGGTCTCTTCTAATATTCCGTTTGTGGAAACTGTCTGAAAGAATGATGCCAGTAGCGGACATGCGAATACTTATTCCCACATCCCATATATGAATTCGTCCCCTTGTCGCGGCAAAGTTTAAATGACTTAGCAGTCCTTGCATGATAACGACTCTTATCATTACTTCGGCGACTGTGATGGCACGTGTGTCACCAGTTTTGCAAAAGAAATGCACCTCGGAAAGTGTGTCATTAAAGAACGCACTATCGTCTTCTGACGGCGGATCTTTGGTCCTTGCAGATAGGCATCTGGCCTGGCAAAGTCCACAGTAAGTTTGATGGAGAAGGGACGGGGACCTTCTGCCTGGGTGCTGTCGGTGTTCACGGGTCTATTTAATATTCTGTTCAGGATTTCAATGACCTCTTGGGCGACCAAAAGCCGCCTGTTCACACCTTCCAGGATATCAGTTTCAGTTGGGCATGACTTGCGAACCTGTCAAGCACTCTTTCTTGGGATTCTTCATCGTCGTTTGTGGTGGCGGCGGCTGTCGCGGTTATGCGACTGCAACAGTTTCTAATGACGTAATTGTGACAGTCCACACTTACTGTTTCCATACGTTAATGTCGCCTTCGAAAAGACATCGTAATCCGAGATGGCATGGTTCGTCAACTTCTCTAGCCACTAGCAAATGGAATAACTGACTAAAATCAAACTGAACATACGCCTACTATATTAAGGGCGACTTGCGACGTTTGTCGCGGAGGCTCTCACATGATCATACTCAGTCGACTGGTATTTCGATTTTATCGGAGGCCGAAGTAACAGACTATCATATTGCGGTTAGTTGTGCGCTGTCGGCAATCTACAATTGGTTAGGAATCTATAGTACATTGGGCGATTCTAACAAAGAACGTGTCTACGGCAACCCAAAACAACTCGCGAACATTCCACAGGTGATTGTCTAAGTAAAGGCCCGCGAAGTAGGGCCATAATTATACCTAATACAGACGGCGTTTCCCAGACACCTAGCTGAAAGTGGCTGGATAAAACGACGGCATAGGCACGATTCCATGCAGGAGCTAGCGTGTTCTTCAGATCATCCATTCAGTGGGTTCACTTACAAATGCTTTGGTATCAGTACACCAAATTAACTGTGGACAGAGACAATGCCGTTTGTTCTGCAGTTTTAATCAGACGGCAGTTTTTTTTCAAAAAAACCACAGACTTCTCCAGGACATCCGTTGGGTGGTCTTGTAACACTTCACTACACAGACGTGCATTATGTAAACTAACCTCTGAGGATTCCATGGAGTAGGTAGAGGCACGGAAAGCATTTATGAAAACCGGGCAGATGATATGAGAGCTGCGACTAGCGCTATGCAGGATGATTCAGATGAACATGAGCCGTCCTCTTACACCGACGTATTGGCAAAATACCGCAGTTCGAATAGTCGATGAACTGATAACTATGGGCCACAGGAAATACAGTAGTTAACAGACGGTGGTATGAGTATGAGTGTGGGTCTGGCGAAGTAAGCGATAATTATGCATATTTAAGAGCCTTATGGATGGGGCGATAACATAAATACGTTCGTATGCGGATCGGCCTTATCCCTTTTGCACTCCGTATGGTTTCATCCTGTTCTTTGATAACTGTGTGTCAAAGAATATGAAACATACATTATATGAAGTTCTATCCGCAACGATCTTATGAGGGAATTTTTACACGCAACTCCACAGAATTGTAAGGCTTTGGAGAAAATTTGTTTGTCCTGTGCATAAAAGCTGACCGTAGTTCTGTAGTTTAGTCCAAAGTCTTTCATCGACAATGATTTTATTATTAAAATTTCTGTGTAAAGTATCAATGTAGCTTTCCCTGGATAAAGGTCAGGAAAGAGCACTTAGGCGGCGAGTTTCTATTGAATACTCCATTTTCTATACTTTTCAATGCGTACTTCAATTATCCCAAACGATTCGGCTGCAGTAGGCTCGTCAGATTCATGTACAAGTATTGGCTTTTCCTCTTACAACACGGCTCTTGGTAATGTTTGTAGAGATGCACTCAGATGTGCCCTGAGGTATGCATGAGAAATCAAAGGGAGACAGGGCCCTATCTCGAGTAATATATTCGAGTGAGAATCCGAAACATCAGGCTAATAAAACTCTTATTCCAACAATCGTGTCTCCTTCCTCGTAGGATGGAGTTTCTGGGAAATTTAGGGCTAGTCCTTGAAGCTGTCCCCAGTTTTTGTTCAACGATGAAAATAACATGTGCAATTGATCAGCGTCCATCTATTTTGCGCGATGTAATTGAAAAAAAGCGGAAATTTTCGGAAATGATTGTAATGTTCAGCCTATAAAGAGACTGTGCGGCAGTGGCTGTCGTGAGAAGAAGACGTCTCCAACACGTTCTTCGATATTGTTTTGGGACAGCGCAAAATTGTCAGTAAAGGGACATTTTCTTTGTTATATCAAGAATCGCGAGTCGGATTGGACATTTATATTATGCAAAGGTGTGGTTTATTTCATCACGATGTTCTACTGAGCTCCAGTTCGGCCAAATATTCAGAATAATCTTGTCTGAATAGCCCATAACGTCACAGTCGTCTGGGACATGCTGACTATTGTATGCATTTTATTATCTAACCTGTCCTTTAAAAGCAAAGATTAAGCCTCTCCGCCGATCACCCAAGTTACCTTATAACGATAAATGACATTAATTTGGTTTTGGACTGCCCAGTAACTCACCGCTTGAATCAAGCCAACAGTAATTTCTACCTTTCATGTGCAGCAGCGCCCATTTAGAGTCTCTCAACGGTTTGTCGAACTGCCCTAAATCTTTGGAAACCGATGCCGCAGATGCTTTGGTATGATATTTTTTATTTCCCGCTTCAATTATGCCTGTCTTCCCCGATATCACCGTAATAGCCCAGGGCTAACCTCTACGACTCGTCTGTGGACAGTTTTGCAATTACCAGTAGTCTTTATAAATAAAATCTGTCCAGCAATCCCTTTGCGTGGTTGACGTTCGTGGCACCCGAAGCTACGCTGACGTATATAGACTGTGTTCAGCCAACCAGTGCTAGTATACTAGTAGCAAACTATATCGAGACGATATCTATTAGATATCTATTTTTCGAGATACCTATATCGATTAGATATCGATTTTGTCCGCGGTCTAGATATCGACTAGATATCTATTTTTCGAGATACTCCGAAATCGGCGATAGGGACACGTTAGGGCATGCGTAAGCTGCGGTTACTTCTTCTTATACCCATACCTAATTATATTATCGTCTGTTTGCTCTATTCATCTCAATCCCGGCTTACTTTGCCTGCTGTTGTGCACTGTATAGCGCGTTTAACGGTCTAATTGACATCGCTATTGCAACCGAAGCAACTAGATCGACGAAAAAGAACTATTTTGAAGACGTGTTAGTAGGAAAAAAGTTTATTGAATCAAAAAATAATGTTAAAAGGTTTAATACATAGAAGTATCTTGCGTGGATGATGGTCCATAACTTGTTGTTTCCTTGGGACGTAGCTGTCCAGCGACCTTTTCAGGCACTTGGTAAAAGCAGACTGAAGGTGAAGACTTCATTTCACGAAGTCGTCTACATTGTGCCCACCAAGGCATGTAAGGTAGGAGGTCTAACGCAAGAGGGAGTTATAAATTGGGTAGCACACCAATTGGTTGCGGAGGCTATTGTCCAGTAGTAGGAAATAACCTTCCTGTGGCTCTCAATGACATCGATTTTGGACAGCAGTGTTGCCATTTGCTTACATCCCTGATAGCATTATGCTCGAAAGTCATCGGCATTCTCCTGTGGCTCCTGAGAGTTATAACGGCGTTATTTACCATCACTTACTGGAAATCCTCGTTTCCATACCTCTTAATCCGACGTAATCGTGTTCCCGGGATTCCTGCCTAAACATGGTTAACATGTAACAGTATCAAACAAGAGATATAAATGAAGAATGGCAGGTAAGTGCAAGGACTGTCAATACCTATAGGTATTTGCTGGTACATCGCTGCCAGACATAATTGCGATTAAAGCGGCACCCTCATGACCAGTGGTCTTATTTTATATTCGGTCAGATTACAGGTTATGAACGATTTCGGCGACTACGTTCAGTTTCTTAGAATTTCTTGAAATGTCGGTTCGAAAGACGGACTTCCACTACCTAAGGTTGCCATTGTTTTCGAAAGGCCGAAGTTAATTTTTATGGTTGGATACCAGTGTCGCAACACTCCGTTACTGATGCTAGTATTATTGCAGTTAGTTATCCATACTGTAAGCGTTGGTAGAGTAGCATTGGCAGCCGTGGTAGTAGTAGTACTAATAGTTGGATTATTAGTAGTATTCGCCGTATCAGTGGTGGTAGACGGGGGAAAAAGTTTTCTTCAGTGTTGCGACACTGTATTCCCGCCAGTGGTAGTAGTATTAGTAGTAACAGCGGTAGTAGTGGTAGTAGTAGTAGCAGTAGTAGTGGTGGTGGTAGTAGTAGTAGTAGTAGTAGTAGTAGTAGTAGTGGTAGTAGTAGTAGTAGTAGTAGTAGTCCGCCCGTAAGACAGGCTGGTGGGGGAATAGACACTTCTAAGTGTTGCGACACTGTATTCCCGCCATTTTTATTTTTCGATCTTTTCCTTCATTAACGACGCTTTATTTTCAATGACTTACCCACATACTCTTCTGAAATTTCTCATCTTAGACAACGCGTCCGTCTCGCCATTTCGGATGCATATTCCAGTCTTAACAGCAGCCTTATGTTTCTATTCTTACTAGAGTATTGAGAATGTTCCTTGGCAAACAGTTGACGTCATTCTGGTCTCTTACACGCTCAGTCTGGTACTGTTGCCCTACCTGACTGAATGTATGGGTTTCCGAGGTCGCGTTCTAGCCACATCCCCCGTAGTCAACATGGGCAAGTAAGTCCAAATGATTCGTTCACTCAGTTGTTGGGCCTATTTAAGTCTTCTTCATCTTGTAAAATACGACGTTGTTTATCTTCGCAACCATGAAAAAGTCCTTTCGACGAAACACAGGAATGGACACTTATTCCTATGTACTAACGGGCACCTTAACCGTAGGCCTTACGCGAACCTTACTACAATTTTCCTGGAATTCAACAAAAGGCCACCTGTGTTAGGGGTGGGGTTCCAATTATTATTTTGTAGCGTCGTCTCTTTGATTGCATCCATTTCCCCATGTCTCTACTGTACGCCCTATCAACATTGCACATTGAACCCTAAGATCAATGTAAACCCCTTCTTATATTCTTGAACTTTACGGTCTCTGGAAACATGCTACCTATTAATTTACTCGTTGATCCTCGAAATCAAAGTTCTCCTTTCCTTCGCCCCGCATATCGCGTTGTAGAGTTATAATTGAGGATCTTCTCAACGAAGCTGAACATATTGCCCAAGGTCCAACCGATTCAAAGCTGGCGGACACAAATTGGTAGGGATAATTTGAAACTAATATAAAATGATGTGACTTTTCCGGCTTTAATCCCTCTCAAAATTATACCTCTCTCAAACACAGTACGCCACCAGCTGATGATCTTTTGGACAGCTGTCTGCTCAACTATACATCTGATCAGGCTACCTCGGCCCTTTCGAAAATTCAGACAGTTGCTTATCAGGAGACCGTGGTAAGTTTGGGTGTACTGGCGTAAAATTTCGAAGCAATAATTGTTTTCTGGCCTATTTTCGACTACCATATTCTATCTCGCTTTTTATCTTCTTCAGGACATATTTGGGCTTTTGAAAATAAAATGCATCAGCTCAGGTGCCGATATAGGCGCCTGTCACTGGGTGCTTAAAACTCCCTCTGAGAAGGTAATACGAAATCTTTCTTTTGACGGTTTATCTGCCCTTTATACTAGTTTTTTCTTTCTTTCTGCTTCTGCTGAACTTCCTCCTATATCATATTCAAATTAGATTCTCGAGTTTCTATTAGCTTAAACAGACACCTAAAGAGACTATTAAATGTGTTGGTGTCCTATCTAGGCTTGCTTGAAAATGATTTGGATTTGGATTTTAGATTTTTTATCTCTCGCGGGGATCCGTGTATTCGACGTTTGCAATGGTAAGCACTCCGCTGGAACTGTTAATCGAGCTTTGTAAACTCTGAATTTCAACAGTCTTCAGTGTCCAGTCATTGTCACTCTGTCTTAATTTTTCCTGCTAGTCGTCGCACCGTCCCTTGACAAGCTCGCCTACATTTTAAAACTGATATCCCAATGTTTTCCGTCATCACTCCTCTGTTTTCCTGTTTCCAGATATAACCCTTTAAAAAATAAAATGAGCGCTTTTGCATCTTTCTTCTGCAGCCCATGGATTTCACGGAGTTTTCAGATGTTGACGTTCTTATCGTGGGATCTTTGAACACAAGTCAGTCGTTGCCTTTTGAGCAGGCGCTGGAGAAAGTATGTACCGTCGCCGGTAAGTTGCTTCGAGATTTTCTTGCCGATTCCCGCTTGGAAATTGAAATTTCCACGTGCGGATGGACAAAGGCGGGGGGGGGGGAACTTAGATCAGCCAGACTCACTTAGAGTGTACAAACGCACACACGCACACATTACTACTGCTGCTTCTGCTACTACTACTGCTGCTGCTACTACTACTACTACTGCTGCTACAACAACAACAACAACTACTACTACTACTCCTACTCCCACTCCTACCCCTACTCCTCCTCCTCCTCCTACTACTACTACTACTACTACTACTACTACTACTACTACTACTACTACTACTGCTACTACTACTACTACTACTACTACTACTACTACTACTACTACTACTACTACTACTCCTACTACTACTGCTACTACTACTACTACTACTACTACTACTACTACTACTACTACTACTACTACTACTACTACTACTACTACTACTACTACTGTCACTGCTGCTATTACCATTATTAGTAAGACTTAGTGCTATAACTATTGTTATCAATTCTACTGATGCTACTACCACAACAGCATAGTTTACTAATTTTTTGCCTCTCGAAAATCCCCGAGTTGTTTTTAATTTGTATTACTTTAATCTGCACTTTATGCCTGCTTTATATTGTTGCCGCTTTCCTATCAGTGCAGACACTAGCGCTCGGCGGCCATGTCCTCGTGCCCTGTTTGCCCTCGGGTCTAGTCTTTCAGCTGCTCGAGTCCATCGCCACTGCCAAAAACAACTTCAATGGCCACCTGCTTGAGGCCTT